AGAGAATCATTACCAACTTTGTTTTAAAGCAAAAATGTATATTAAAACTGGTCAAGAGGACAAGACTGTGTACTTAACAGTTGTACTTAATGAAGGATTGCAAATGACAATCAAATTAACAATGACAGAGACATAAAACTATTGATTTAAAGATGTTAAATGTGTATATAGAAACAATTTTTAAGTTTATTGCAAAATAGGCATATTTCCATAAGTTAAAGTAGTTTGAGAGTGGAGGAAGACTAACTCAATTACATCATTCACAGTACTTTATGGGAGTGGGCAGGTGCTAAAAAGTTTTTTTTTAATTTTTGTAATTTTCTTGTTTCGTGTTGTCTGATTCCTGGATATTTCTTTGGGGAATCATGGATAACAATTTCTCACCTGGACTTCTGCGGTTTATAAACACGATTATCTAAAAAATAAGTCGTAAAAAGGTGAGTTGACGGGTTTAACAAAAGCATATGCCATCATGTAATGATGTAGCTCACACAATTTCCCTTTGGAGAAAATGAATGGGATTTTTACATCCAGAACCTGACTGTTGCACTCAAAGAAAATAAGAATAGATGCAGGGTCTCAGGGGTCTTAAACACGCGACAAGAATGAAGAAAAAGCATTAAGCTACAGAGCAACAAACATCCATCAAGCACATGGCACCAAGACATTAGAAGCAGATCCTTGCAGAGCTGCAAGGTGGTGCCTCCACCTTGGACTAGTTGGACTATTGGACTAGTTCAGAGTTGTACAATTCTGCTCCTGGAGGGCCAACGTCCTGCAGATTTTCAGTCCAACCAGTTCCAACACAGGTTTGGACACCCCTAGATGTGTTGGCCCAGCACATCTCATAGATCAGGGGTCACCAACCCTGCTCCTAGAGAGCTACCGTCCCGCAGATTCAGCTCCAAACCCAACCCAGCAGGCACCGGACGTCTATGTAACGTCAGGTTGACGTTGGACATGACGTCAGGCAGACGTTGCATTTTGGTTGAAAATGAAAATCGGGTTTGATGTCAATATTTGAAGTCAATTTGACGTTGACTTAAAAGGGTCATATGATGCTATTTTAAAGATCATTATTTTGTGTATTTGGTGTAACAGAATATGTTGACATGCTTTAATGTTCAAAAAACACATTATTTTTCAAATGCTGTACATTATTGTAGGTCCTCTATGCCCCGCCTCTCTCAAACACGTCGTTTTCAACAAAGTCCCCTCCTTTGACAAGCGCAGTCTGCTCTGATTGGCCAGCTGACCCAGTGCATTGTGATTGGCCGAACACTGCAAGCAGGCATCAGAAATGTAATTTACCATACTATACCCTTACCATAATCGCGAGCTTCAGCTTTCAAAGTAAATATCAAGACAGTTAATAATGTGTTAGTTTTACCATCAGTTCAAGCCCGAAAGGGCAACAGAGTCGCGTGACAAACACAGTGATGATGCAGTACACAAGCCGCGGTACACAAGCCACGGTTAAGACAGTGTGACCCTCTCTCTCTCTCTCTCACACACACGCGCGCACACACACACACACACACAACGCGTTACTCTGCGCTGCGCAAAACTCCACATTTGAACAGTCAATAGCAAATACTTAAACTAATAACAAAACATACGTAATCTTCTTTATGCACCAAGAGCTTGTAACACTCCAAAGAGAAAGGAAAACTTGAAATCGCATCATATGACCCCTTTAATATTGGATTTTGGTTACACAACCTAAAAACAACAAAATATCAACGCCAGCTGACGTCGGTATTGGACATAAATGTAACATTCACATTAGACGTTGAATTTACATTGAATTTTGGTCACCCGACGTCGCAACCGAAATTTAACCAAATATCAACGTCTTATGACGTGTGCCTGCTGGGAATTAAACACACCTGAACCAGCTAAAATGAAAGTGTTCAGGGTTACTTGAAAATTAGGCAGGTTTGGAACTGAAGTCTGCAGGACAGGAGCTCTCCAGGACATCCCTGTCATAGATGCTCAATCGGGGGAATCTGGTGGCCAAGGCCAAACATTGAACTCTGTCATGTTCTTCAAACTTCTTGAACAATTTTTACATTGCGGCAGTGTGCATTATGCTGCTGAAAGAAGCCACTGCCATTAGGGAACACCACTGCCATGAAGGTGTGTACATGGTCTGCAACTGTCTTTTGTTAGGTGGTCTCAAAGCAACATCCACATGACGCTCACATGCCCATTATGGGCACTTTCGGCGGTGGACATGGGTCATCATAATGGCAATCTGACTTGTCTGTGATATACTGTGTGTTCAGACACCTTTCTATCATGTCCAGCATTTTGTTTTCAGTTTTAGCTATCCTTCGCTCCCCACATGCATCGTTGAGCCTTGGGCACCTATGGCCTTGATTTCCGTTTACTGCCACTGTTGGTAGGTACCCAGCCACTCTAGCCATCACTATTTTTAGCCTTTGTCAGTCACTCAGATCTTTTCGCTTGTCCATTTGTTCTGCTTCCAACGTATGAAATTCAAGAACTGACTGTTATTACTTTCTTTAGATTGATGTGCTGTAGCTATGTTTATGTGTAAGTGTACAATTCTCTTCAGGGGGTACCATAACCCCAAAACTTGGAAGGCTGCATCCTACAAGAAACAGTAAAAGCTTCATAAATCCTTGTTAGATCTGTGCAAAGTTCATTTTTAATAATGCCATACGCGATTTTCAATGCCCGTTTTGTGTGTACACAACATTTAGACACAAGGCACCTGATGTAGCTCTCAGACTAGAGTTGCTCCAGCTTATTTCTTTCAGCTTTAAAGACGAGCACCACAAAGTGTTTCATCTTCAAAAGAGGATGACCAGCGCAGGAAAGACAAGAGAGGGATAATCTCTCGATTTCAAAGAAGATGTGACATTTTCCAGCGACCTTATTGAGCTTATAACACATGAAACAGTTTCCTGAAAAAGCAGGTCCATCATGGTCATTACTGGTGGCATTTTAGCCTTGATCTGCCCAGCAGAATATTACAAAAGACATGCTGAGATATAAAAATGACATAAAAGCTACTCGGTCCAGAATAAAGCAGGATCACAACACGATTCAATCAGGAACAGAGGATGCGCCAACACTATGGCCACCTACTTCCCATACACTTAATACATACACTTTACTCAATCAACAGACCTGTATCTATCGCCATTCTTTCTTCTCCTCCAGTGCTCTTTCAATCCAAGCACTTCAAATATTAATTTCTCTCTCAGGTTTTAGCCCAGTCTCTGTCCTCAGTGGAAAGTCTGGAGCCAGGCTGACTGAGCGGCGACGTGAGGAAGGGCAATTACCTTCTGCCACCAGAGACTTCCAACAAAAACACCAGTGTGTGTAATTAAAGAATGAATGGCGGACCTCGCTCTTTACTCTCTCACCCTTTCATGATCAGGGCCCCATTACGCGTGGACAGGAGGAGCACCGGGGGCCAGTGCGGGAACAGTTGAGATAAACGTCTTTCAATCATGAAATAAAAGACAAAGAAGAAAACCTCTAAATTACGACTGCCGCGCTTTCACCATGACATCTAAGGCTCTGTTCTAAAACATAGCTGTGCTCTTTTAAGGAAACACTGATGACTGATTTCAGTAGTTTGACATTAGCACATTGCTAAGCTAATTACACCTTAAAGTATAATAAATGCATAATAAAATTTTGGGTAAAAAAAAACACAATTCAAGATTTGTTGATACTTGTTACATCACAACTTTAACTTTACAAATCAAAATTTTTACGACTCATCCACCATTTTTATTTAATTCGTCTTTCTACTGTGTCCACTGAGATGAATTATGGGTTTGGATTTCACAAAATATGCAGTATACTATAAACTTCAGCAAGAATTAGGTATCTTTGAAAACAGAATCACCTCTCCTGTGTAAAGGACACCCATAATTCCTTAAAACGCGTGTAGGTTTTGAAACGAAGCCCAACTATGATGACCTATTAAGACTTTTTATGGTTCAGGTGAGACAAACAGGAGGGGATTAGAGACGATGACAAATCTTGGACATTGCACAATGTTTTATTAAAAAGTAAAGAAATTACACAAAGGAAAAAAAAAAAAAAAAACTATCAGTCCCCAATTCTTCCTGGCCCTCCCTCCCTGCCCCTTACTTTTATATAACACAAGATTTTACAACTGGCAGTGACACTGAAGGGGTCTTAAAAAAAAGAAAAGAAAAAACACTTTCAGAAAACCGAATGAAGTCTTAGGAATCTGTGGGTGCAAAAAAAGGGTAAGGATTTCCTTAAAGTTTAGTTTCCCTACCAGGCCGTGGAGCTATAAATACATATGAAAACAGCTTTGACCACCTCTACTACCTCCTAACTGAAAGAAAGCATTTACACCTGTGAGACAACTCACTTTCCAAGCCTGCCAATCATAAAGGTATGTTTTACTGACGGAAAACAACAGGTCACGTGATGGATAACGTGGTAAAGATTACGAAAATGGTACTAAACATAAAAGATATAAAAGAAATGATGTCAAGCCCAAAGAATATTATGAACCAATTCAAGAAGGTTATGAGAGTGACCTCGCTTCTGAAGTTTAAAATAAGCCTAATCTAGATGGAGGGGGGGGGTGGAATTAAATCAGAAATCTCCATAAAAAAGAAAAAGTTTTAATCCAGAATAAAGCCCTGAGCAGCACATCTGCTGTGGACAAACATACCTATCTTAAACTGAGACTTCCGTGGCTACGATCAAAAACCAAAATATAGTCCAAGCTTATTATTTACATATTCATATGAAAAAGGAAATCAGATAATAGAATTTCACTTGAGTGTTTCACATCTGACTTGACCATCTTGATTTTAGGTTCAGTTTATCACTGCAAAGTTCTTTAGTGGGGATATAACATTCAAATGTCAGTTTTACACCAAGGGGAGCTTTTCTTTCGAAGACCACTGTAGTAGAGTGCCACCTACTGGTTTCAAGGGAATAAGAGCAGCATGAGGTTTACAGGAATTGCTAGATGCCAATAAACAAGATCAGTGATCTCCTGCTTTTCAAAAACTGAAGTTGTTTAACCGAACGCAAGGATGACAGCTTTTATTGTAAAACGGCAAAATAATAAATGACTAAAGAAAAGGAAAAAAGTGGTGGCACATTCAAAAATTAAAGACTTTTAGTTCAATGTCATACCACCATGGGGGTTTAGTGCCAATTAAACAGCTTTTATGAGACACAGAAAACGCATAACGTCAGTTTCACTGAAAGAGCCTAGTTCTGGACGCTCACTGGTTAATTCATTTAAAAGGCTGCGAGAAGGTCTACGCAAAAGGATCCGTTTCATTCTGAATCACTTTATAACATTTACAGGTCAACTTTTACAGGGAAACCTCTCAAACCATCAAAATCAGACACGGCTTGGTGGTATCTGCAACCCAATTACAATCTTTTTTGGGATTCAAGTGTTTTCTTTTTTTATTATTATTATTATTTGTGTTTTTTTAGGCCAAATATCAAATGAAAAAAGTCTTAAGAGCTCAAGGAGATGACATCTCTTTTTCAATGCAAATCTTAAGGTTGAAAAACCACGTGTCACCATTATTAATCAACTTACAAATATAAATCAGTTTTCTCCAATATTAACAAAAACTTCCAAAAAGTAAAATAAACCCAAACATCTACATCGGGGTGAGCAAAAGTTCCGTCCAATATGCAGTGGTATGGGGCACCCCGTTTCGCCTTCTGATTAATAAGGAGGGGGTACAAAAATGAATACAAAGAACACAAAGCACCCTGGTCTTCATGAGCGTTTGAGCCTCTTGGAATGTCGCTGGACGCCCGAGTCCTCGTCACTGCTGGCCCGTCTCAATCCAGTTCTCCTGCTGTCCCTCTCACTGTCGCTGTCCTGCTCCTGATAATCTTTGCGATTTGTCTGCTTGCTCTTCCTTCTCACAGACTCGTCCTCCTCCTCATCTTCCTCACTTTCGCTGTCATCTTGGTTCCATTCTCCACCACTCTGTCTGGTCTTCCTCCGTCCAGAGTCTTCCTCATCATCTTCCTTCTGTCTGGATGAGGCTCTCCCTTGCTTCCCATTTTGTATCTTCTTCCCCCTCTCCTCCTCCTCTTCGGAGTGAGTGGCCGGGCGCTTGCGTGTTCGCCGTCGCAGGTAGCCGATCCCAGGGAGGCTTTTCTGAAGGAGCTCGATGAATGCCTGCTCTGTGCATGCCATGCAGGTCAGGACGTCGCTGTCGGGCTCGTTGTATTCCTCTGCATTTGAGAAGACAAGCTTCACATCCTCGAGAAAATCGCTGGCGTTGTGGTACTGGGAGGATTTGAACTTGTCCTGCATGGTGGTGAAGTCCATCGGGCAGCTGATGATGTCCCGATAATCCTCGGCTTCTTCAGCAGATACAGGTTCCCTGGATGAGAGGAAGAGAAAGCACTTCTTCACTACTCACATTAACTGCGTTAATGATACACAATCACCAAATGGCACATCAAACTATTAGAAGTTAAAGAACACCCTGACAGGTTTCAGAATTTTCAATATCACCAAATAACAAACTAACACGAATTAATGAATTAATAATGAAAAACAAATTCTACAAATACTGCATCTAACCTGGATACATACTAGGGCTGGGTATCGGTTCAAATGTCCTGATTCGATTCCGATTCACAAGCTCTCGATTCGATTCTTGATTCAATTCTCGTTCTTTTTTTTATTACATTCAGTGTATATAGCTTTAATACAAATGCTATTGATATTTCTAAAAAATGAACAGTAAACATCAGTTCACAAAGTGCTGCACAACAGAGGTTTACTATTAAAATAAAAAAAGAAAACAAATGTGATTAAAAATAAAGATTTATTAATATTTATTAGTAGTAGTAGCATTGCTGTTACATTGAGTCTTAAGACTGCACAATAGTAATATACTTCTGACATGGTTTCTTCACATTAAACCAAACTTTTATTTTGACAGGTTGCTGTGAAGAACTTGCAGCTGCTGTGTATGTGACATGACGGTAGTTTTCTCAAATTAAACGGTAAAATGCTAATGAAGTGTCTCTCAGGGCAGCTGGAGATGATATTCGTGTGTTCATGTCATCATATAGTGAGACGGCAGAAACTGAAAACACCGCGAGCGTCATTCGTGCTTTAGTATGTGTGTAGTAAACAAAACAGTGAGTTGCGCCATCTGCCATTCATTAATTGTGGAAATCATGGTGCCTTATACGTGATAGTAATACTACAAATCTGCAGAAGCATTTGATATGGCATTTCACCTGAGCATTGCATATCACGCATATTGCTTTGTTCTTGTCAACAGTATCTCCGCCATGATAAGCACTAAATGAATGACAGGCTTTCTGTTGTAACAGTGCGCAAGGTAAATAAGAGGGTGACATCTACTGGAGAAGACTAATGATAAGATTCACATTAATCAGATCTTGTGTTAAAGGGTTAGTTCACCCAAAAATGAAAATTATCCCATAAATTACTCACCCTCAAGTCATCCTAGGTGTATATGACTTTCTTCTTTCAGACGAATCCAGTCGGAGTTATATTAAAAATTGTCTTTGATCTTTCAAGCTGTTTAATGCCACTCAGCGGGTGTTGCTTGCATCAGTCCAAAAAAAGTTAAATAAAAAGCGCCCATACATAAAAAAAAAATTTTTTTTTAAAGTGTCTCACACGGCTCCGGGGGGGTGAACAAAGGCCTCCTGTAGCGAATCGATGCGTTTTTGTAAGAAAAATATCCATATTCAAAACGTAATAATCGCTTTAATGTAGCTTGCGCCAACAGTTGTACATGGAAGCAGCTCCGGGCGGATGACGTATGAGGTCAGCTTTGCGCATGCGCCGCTCAGAAGTGACGCACACAGAATCGCAGGAGAGAGATCAAAACAAAACAACGGTCACTTATTAGAAGTACAAAACGAGGATTTGTAAAGAAGAATGTTGGAGGATTTCGATATAAGCCAAGAGAAGACTGGTTTTCCTTTGCTAAAGTAAGGAAACTTTGCTTCCTTTGATCCTGTAAACAAACGTTGGTTTTCACGAGACTCACCAGCGCATGCGCAACGCTGA